CAAGGTGGGGATGAAACAAGCTTAAGGTTTCGAAAGAGGAAGCTTGCCACGGACCAGCAACACCTGTTTCGGTAGCCAGGGTGGATTTTAACAGATCCCATTAATACAACACCTGAGAGGCAGAGAGGCCAAGTGGCTAGAAGGTAAATCACCTCCTTCTGACAGGCATCAGGATGAGTCCCTGCCAAGCCACCATTAAAGGAACCACAACTCATCAGACTGTCTTAAACCTGCCGGTTGAAACCCAAGTGGTTTAGAATTACTCATACGGATGACGTTGTTTTGGGAAGTCCACTTATGATTCAGGCTGAGACATGCCATTTGGGTGCCAGCAGCTTCTGCCCCCCCCCGAACCACAGTGGGGGCCCAGCCGGCTGTTTCTCAGCCCTCGCTAATCTGGGTTAGCAAACAGATTCACCAGCATGTCCGGTTTCCCCAGGACAAACCAGGCGCTTTGCCTCTTTTGAACTGTTTGGCCGGCTGGAAAGGACATCGATTTACCGCCCGATGACGAACATTTAAAGTTCGACAACAATAACAAAAAAAGAGGAAAAAGCTGTGTGTTCCTTGTACACAGTTTAAGAGTCTTTGATGTTTTAGCCACTTACAGGCTTGATCACAGCGAAAACACATGGCTCCCTGGGGAAAACACACAGGGAGGGCCTCCTTCGCATCTAGCAAAGTCTGTCTTCATTCAACCAGGCACCTTCCAGCTTTGAAGAATAACCATTCCCATTATCCCCAGCCAGCTATGCTTTGCTATCTTGGTCCTGGAGTTACAAAGCTCGCTGGCCTGAAGCCGTGGGGTGAGTGGGGAGGGAGTGCTCAATGGGTTCTTCCTGTGGGGCCCTAGATCATTGGTCCTCAATCTTGGGCCTCCAGATGTTCTTCGACTACAACTCCCAGAAGCCTTCACCACCACCTCTGCTGGCCAGGATTTCTGGGAGTTGAAGTCCAAGAACATCTGGAGGCCCAAGATTGGGGACCACTGCCCTAGATGAAGAGCAGTGACTCCCAATCTTGGGTCCCGAGATGTTCTTGGAGGACAACTTCCAGAAATCTTGGCCAGCACAGCTGGTAGTGAGAGCTTTCGTTTGAGAACATCTGGGGGACCCAAGTTTGGGAACCACTGATCAAGAGACACAGTGGGTCTTTCAGGTTTCGTTATAACCAGGACCTTATGATCACAGGCCGAGGTCAAGAAAAAATGGTCATGAAAAGGCTCCTCAGAGCCTTCTCCAACCGGGAGCTTACCGCCCGACAAAATAGTTCTGTTATATTTTTCCTTTGCGAATCCTGGAAATAGAAACTGTCAATTTGCCCAAACTATGTGGTACCCATGCAGGTTGGGGGCAGAAAAAAAGTCAACCCAGTGAATTAATCATCCACAGATCTCACAGGGGGTTGGGAACAATGTTAGTAGCCTAGCTGACAATAAGGTCCTTTAATTTGAAGTCTTGCCACCTTTTTATATTATTATTATTGTTGTTTAGTGGCTTTTTAAATATGATGGTTGTTCATGTTATTTACTCCCGCGGTGTTCTGTTCTTTGTGAAGCTTCGCTCTGCGTATTGTACATCACCCTGCGTGCCTTATACGGAAGAGACCCGTCTATATAAAACAAATAAATATTTTACATGCCCCTTACAGTAATTGGAATGTCAAAATAAATTGCATCTTTTCAGCAACACAAGGAAATGCTTTCTTAAAGGAATGGAGCAAACAATTGATCCAAAGGTCAAGGAATTGGAGAGGTTTAGAGATTAACTGGCGTGGAAGGTGAGAAATTGAAGGAATTAGTAAAGGAGAAAGTGCCAGGGGGGGTCCAAGTGAATTAGTGGCTGCTAAGACAGCACATCCATCACCCCTTGGAATCCTGGCTCAGAGGACGGAGGCTATTTTGCTGGGGTGTCTCCCCCCCCAGGGAACCATTGATGTCCATTCAGTTGGAAAATGCCACCCAGGACTGGACAGATACAGTGGCAAGAATGCAGTGGGCGAGGGGGGGTCTGAATAGCCTTTGCTCTGGGGGTCTGGCTAGGAGGGCAACTGTGCTCCTGTAGGAAAGCCAGTCCGCCCTCAGGATGTGGATCTGTGCTGAATGTGGCCCAGATCCGCCTCCCTCACCCCCTCACGTGCCTTGGCTGACCTGGGAGTCTTCCCTTCTTGGCTGACTGGCCAATGTCAGCGGAGGCTGGACCTGAATTCCAGCCGGTGACGCAACATCGCCGGTCCGGCACTCAATGTTCCTGTTTTCAAAATAATTGGTCTCCTTGTGTCCCAAGTCTTTCTCCCCCTTCGCTCCCTTTCCCCACAACCCCCAAGAGGTAAGGCAGGGCCTCTGAGCCTCAGCATCAGGACCTGTGTTCAAGGTAGGCCAGTACTCCGATCAGAGCAACCAAGGAGAAAGGACCACGGTGCATATGCAGAGCGCTTGTTTCTCCCTGTTACCTATGTCTCTTCCAGCGACAGCTCTTGAACACGGAAGCTCCACTAAGAGAACCTAGGACCTTTTTTTTGGTTGAACTCCTCCCTTTGTTTTATAAATCTATCTCAGGGGGCGGCTGTTGGAACATCTTGTGGCAAGGAGTTTCACAAACCAATCTTATGCGGCGTGGAAAAGGAAGTCCAGCCTGGGACGTCCTTGAAGAGAGGAACTTTCCTGATCATTTGGGTGTCTTTACACCTTCTTGGGCTTCCTTCCTGAAATATGGTGGCCAGAATCAGCCCTGGCAATTGCTGGGGGGGGGGGAAGGTTTGTTAGGGGCTGACCTCCAGCTTCATCTGCCTTCCGGGGTGCCCCAGCCTGAGGTTGGCGGGCTGCCTAACCTTGGTGAAGGGAAATCCCAGAAGGAGTCTCCGAAGGAAAAGTAAGCCAAAAGTGCCCTAGGGGGTCAGATTCAACCCTTGGGATACGATGCTGATTCCTGACAGAGCAGGAGAGACCAAAATTCGCGAGGGGGGGGGTTTAAGAAACTTCAAGATCTCCCAGGCCCACCCCCTGGGCTCGGTAGAGACCACTAAGCAGCTCTGGGTGTCCACGGGTCAGACCCGGAGGCATAGGTTCCTCTCCAGTTGTCTATTCCCTGCACCAGGGACTCACAGATTGACTGCCCCTGATAGGGGGGGCTCTACTGTTGGCGGAACAGTTTACTCTAGCATGACAAATCGGCTCCACGGACCGGGAGATCCTGGCAGAGCCGGTCTCTGTTCTGCAGCTCAACTGAGGGGGATTCTGGCCTGGCTCCGGAATCAGTTTCTTAAAGAGCAGCCAGGGGTGAAAACTCGGTGGGAAAAGTTAACCGGCTCAAAGTGTAGTGTAACTGCCGGTGGGAGAGGCAGCCTGGAAGTCCGGCACCAGCCACGGAGGGCCCACGGATTTCAACTGGTCGGGGGTGTGCCTCTCTTTCCCCCCCCCCTCCAGGACTCCGAGGGGACCTCAGTGCCTTCAAGCAGGGCCGGAGAAGAGCAATCTCCCGCTCCGCCGCCCCTCACCAGCATCCCTTGGGGGCAAAGAAAGACCGACCGGGCGCCGGGTCCGCCCCAGGTGCTGACGAAGCCAAGCTGGGTCAAGATATTTTGCTGCCTGTGGTAGAGCTGCAAATGCCCAAGTCATGATACATGGTATGGAGAGCCAGCCCTCTTATTTTCTCAAATGAGGAACAAGTTTGCACTTGAAGATTTTAGGCCTTAGTCTATGCAATGATACCGCCAGATCAGAATTAAATGCAAATTTATGTCAGCCCTTCCCTTACTCACGTGTTAGGCAGCTGACAGGGCTAGCAACGTAGGGGGGAGGTTGTGAAGAACTCTTATGCATAAAAGAGAACACGGATGAGATGTAGAGGGCTAGATTGGCTCCTGAACGTTGTATCTAGAGTTTGCTTTCTATAGATTTGTTTTTATTGCTGTGCTCTCTAATTGCGCAGTTTTTATTATTTTAGAGTAATGTAACTGCATTCTTGAAATCATTCCTACCATATTTTTATTGCCATCACATACGCACACACTGCCACTTCAACATACTCATCAGCCAGTTCTATTTTTGGAAGGAAACTGGATGGATCAAGATCACACCTAGCAAAAAAAGTGATTGTTTTAAAAATGATTTTTTTTCCAGGTTCCAAGTATACAGGTGAAGGAGTTAACTCTCTGGAAGTCCTTCAATCTTGGGAAGCAGACAGGCTGCGCTGCTCCTCTGTGGTGCCTCTGAGCACGTGCAGAGCGCCTCGGCGTCAGCGCGATCCGTCGGTCCCAGCGTCTGCTTAGGGTTAGAGCTGAGACACCCCCCTGGTGGGGCTGGGCCTGTGTTTTTTTTTCGCCCCTCCTCCCGCCCGGGCAAGGAGGAGAGAGTTCCCCCCTCTCCGAATCTTGTGCCAGGGAATTTAGGAAGAACCCCCCACCCCATCCTGAGCCTCCCCTTGTAAGAAAGCCCCCTTCTCCTTGCCGAGAACAGGGTGGTCCTTGTCCGGCACTCCAAAAACGCTCAGAGGTTGTTTGGGGATCAACTGGGGGGGGCGGCCCGTGGCGCCTGGGAAGGGGCGGGTCATTCAGACCCCGGCTGGGTGGGTGATGGAGGTGGAGGGAAAAGACCCATAGGGGCAAGGGTGGGAGGATATTTTAACTGGGGCGGGGGAAAGGGTCACAGAACGAAGAGAGGCGGCTCTCCAAGGCTGCGCTCCGGACATCTCGCGCGAAGCCGGCGCCGTCGGTGAAGGCTGCGGCCAAAGCGCACTTGAGCCGGTCTTTCGGCCCTCCGGAAGCGGTGTTCCTGCCGGCTCTGCCTGCTTGGAAGGGCCACGGGGCCAGCCGGCTGATCAGATCGTCTTCCTTCCCCGTTCCCTCCCGCCCCACAGCAGTCAGGAGTTCCCCTGCATTTTTTGGGTGGGGGCGAATGTGGGGCTGCCTGGGGCACCCCCGGCTGCCTGGGCTCTACCTGCTGACCTGCGCCTTGGAGAAAGGGGAGGGAGCCCACCAAGGGTAACCCACCCCCCGGGGTCCAGTGATTTCCCCTCCCCCCGTGGTAAAGGCGGTAGACTCCCCACCCCTTCGTGCTCCCGGAAAAACGAACCCCGTCTGTCAGGGACGAGTCTCGCCGTAGCTTAGCGAGGTAAAGCCCCACACACACACACCCCGGCCCCGGGCGCCTCCGGAGGGTGCACCGGGAGCCCCGGGGCTACAAAAGCCGGAGTCGGTTGCAGGCACCCCCTCTCCGAAGACAACCGCCTCATCCTTGGGCTGAGGGGGGTCAGACACGGGGGGGAGGGAGGGAGAGAAAGGGCGGTCGAAGAGCGTCCTGGAGAACCGGCTTCCCCTCGCCCGCCGGCCTGTCCACACTCCCAGGGGTCAGGCCCAGGTAACGGATGGGCAGGGGCTCCCCTCCTGCTTGCCCCCATTGCCAAAGGGGCCCGCGTCTCTGCCCCCAGGACCGTGCCGCCCTTCCTCCCTCCCTCCCTCCGTCGCCAAGACGCTTGGCTTCCTCTCCTGCCAACCGCTGCCAACCCCTTGCCAGGGAGACGCTCTCCGGGTGCCATGCACGGAAGGGGGGGCCCTCGGTTAAAGGTGCGGCTCTGGCCGTTTTGCGTGTGGGGTTGCCGGGGGAGGTGGTGGTGGTGGTGGTGTTCGGACGTCGGCACGATGGAATCCAGGCACGCTGTTCTTGCAGCGGGGGCTCCGTTCCTCTCTCCCATTGTGCCAGGGTGCTGAACTGAGAACAGCCGGAGATGCGGGCACCGATAAGGGACCCATGGCGAGGTACACCACCTGCCAGGCCAGAGGGCCCGGATCCAGCTGCCAAGTTTTTTTTTAACTTATAAAGCCCTAAATGATTCCCAGACTTTGGAACTTCCTGCCACTGGAGTCCAGACCAGCCCCATCTTTGCTGTCCTTCTGCAAGCAGCTAAAAGACGTTTCTCTTCAGGCAAGCGTTCCCTCAGTAAACCTGCTACCTGAGATGGATTCTTCTGAATTACTGCTTTGACTGGATTTTGATTACTACTTGTGTTTTCCATTGTTGTTTTTTCCATTTCTCAGAGTGGCATTTGTGGGGTTCCCCCCCCCTTTTAAAAATATTTGCATGCTTCTTGTTTTTCCGCTTTAAATAGTGTCTTTTAATGAGGGCAGCTGCCTCTTCATACTCCTCATTCTTAGTTTTCAATATTCATTTTATGTAATGTAATGTGATGTAAACCACCCTTGTAAAATTGTTCTTAGCTTTAAATACTATTTTTTTCAATGTTGTAAGCCGCCCTAGCTCCTTTTCAAGGAGAATGGGGAGTTTTTCCGCTTTAAATATTGTCTTTTAATGAGGGAAGCTGCCTCTTCATACTCCTCATTCTTATTCAATATTCATTTTATGTAATGTAAATTACATACATTTCATGTGATGTAAACAACCCTTGTGAAATTTTTCTTAGCTTTAAATACTATTTTTTTTCAATGTTGTAAGCCGCCCTCGCTCCTTTTCAAGGAGAATGGTGAAGTATGTTTAAATATTGTCTTTTAATGAGGGAAGCTGCCTCTTCATACTCCTCATTCTTATTCAATATTCATTTTATGTAATGTAAATTACATACATTTCATGTGATGTAAACAACCCTTGTGAAATTTTTCTTAGCTTTAAATACTATTTTTTTTCAATGTTGTAAGCCGCCCTCGCTCCTTTTCAAGGAGAATGGTGAAGTATGCATAAATAAATGAATAAATGAATGAATGAATGAATGAATGAATAAACCGTTTCTCTTTCTTTCATTGTTTTATTCTTATGCGTAGGATTTCAGCAGTGTGGTGCTGGTGGTAAACCGTTTGGGGATGTTTTTAGACAGAGAAGTGGCTTATCAACTCTTTAAACTTCTCTAAATGACAAATGACAAAACAGACCATCTCTTTAGAGACCACTAAAAAACAAATCGGAGCTTTTCCTGGAGTTAAAACATCGCTCCCTCGGGGGCGACCCTGAACTGAATTTCCCCAAGGATGATGTGATGCCAGGATGGCTGAAAGGGGACGAGGTTGGACCACAGGCGGGGGGGGCGCGCAGGGCTGGGGGGGGGGGGGGGGGTTCCTGACCCC